TAATGGATAATATTGAAACAGAAATTTAGGCTAAGAATGTGCTATTTATAAAATATAATCCATACATAAGCAGGGCTTCGCATTTTTCAAGTAGTCCAGCTAAAATGTGTTAATCCATGTCTCTGCCAATCATTCAAATTTGAGAGCAAAAAACAATCTAAGTTTAAAACAAAATTTTTTTAAAAATCAGACAGACTCTAGAGCTCTGTTGCCCAGGCAGGAGTGCAGTGGCACAATCATAGCTTACTGCAGCCTGGAACTCCTGGGTTCAACCCATCCTCTTGCCTTACCTACCTGGGTAGTGGGAACTATAGGCACATGCCACCATGTCTGGCTACTTTTGAATATTATTTTTTGTAGAGAAAGGGGTCTCCCCATATTGCCCAGGCTGGTCTTTAATTCTTGGCCTCAAGCAATCCTCTCACCTCTGCCTCCCAAAGTGCTGGGATTACAGATGTAAGCCATCACACCTGACCCAAACACATCTTAAAGTCATAGATAAATTACCTTTGAATGTTTACAGACAAAACTATGTCTTCCCCATTTTAGTTTGGTTATGCACCTTTACTTATTGAGCCCACAGTGTGTTTTGTAGTGTAATAGATGACAACTGTTATAGCAGTCTAACACTGCTGAATCTTTTCTGTGACTTCTAAACAAATAATTAATTTCTGAAATATATGTAAAACATATGTGAAGATGCAACTGTGCAGCTTTTAAAAAATGACAAAAAAAGACCCAACCAGAACTGACTATATGAAAAAAGATGTCTGGGTCCTCTTATAATCAATTATAGTATACAACAATACACACATATAATCTATGCTTTAGATTCTATAGCTTGAATTGGTAGCTTCGCTATTTAACTAGGTGTGGTGGTAACATTGAAAAATTTCATAGCCAGGCTCGGTGGCTCAGCCTGTAATCCAGTGCCTTTGGGAGGCTGAGGTGAGTGGATTGCCTGAGCCCGCGGGTTCGAGACCCGCCTGGGCAGGCAAGACCTCATCTCTACAATAAATCAAAAAATCAGCTGGGAGTGGTAGCGCATGCCTGTAATTCCGGCTACTCTGAAGGCTGAGGCGGAAAGATCGCTGGAGCCCGGCAGGTCGAGGCTGCGGTGGCCGGAAGCGGCCACTGCACTCCAGTCTGGGCGACAGAGTGAGACTCCAACTGGAAAAAAAAAAAAAGAAAATTTCATATATTAACTTCATTGTGGTTGGAAGTTATACTATCAGGTATCCTAAAACCAGGGAAAATATTCTAAATTATAACTTTTCAAGAATTCCCTTAAGGGAATTTATCTGTTTCTAACTCAGGAAAAGGCCAAAACTGGAAGTAGGCAAAACAAAACAAAAAATGTCTTATAAGCAGTTAAAACTGATGTTCCAATGTCCTAGTACAAAAGTCACATCTTTTCTAAAGGACAGTTTCTCAAAATATCTATTTATACTCGTGAGACACCGAGACAGTTCTGCAAAAGCATTACTATATGGTTTTCTTGTCTGCAGGTTAAAAGCAGTAAATTAAAAGGGTGGGGAGGATAATAGAACTATGTTAACTGACGGCAGTAAGAAGCAACAGCTGACAGTGAGGGGACAAGCAAACTAAAACAGACAATAGAACTAAAAAAGCAAAGCAATTCAGAGCCATGCAGTGTGAGCAAACAGCCCTACACACCATTATAGGAATGAAGACTTTATCTACACATGTAATAAAAGGAATATTAATAACTACCAGTTTTCATACAGCTGGAATGTATACCTTATTTCCCATGTGTATATCTAAATCACTATTAAGTTTGAAGGGTTTAACTGTTGTGGGTCACCACATTGTCATTTGTCCGACTAGAAGCCCCTCCTACTACAAGGGTTCATCAAACCCTTTAGCTTTAGCACTAGGCTCATCATGGCCATTACATTTTAACTCATTATGACACCTATAACGCATGAGATTACAAAGGCAACGATATTACTTTTTACAATCTATTGTTCCAATAGTTGGTTCCTAAAATACAGCACAGAGCCACAAAATAAAATCACTCTTTTAGGACTCTTCCCGTTTTCCCTAAAATGCTAATACTCCCGTCCTACCTAACAGTGGTGTTGTCAGGATTAAATGAGATAATGTATGTAAAACACTTCGCAAAAGGTCTGGGGTGGAGAATCAGAGCTCAGTATTATTTTAGCACTAGTGAACTCACGCTGGCCCAAATCCCTTATTTGCAGGTGCAAAAATTAAGCCTCAAGAGGAGAACTGACTTCCTAAGGCTCTACTTCTAATATGTTATTGTCTTGGATAAGCAGCTTAGCCGCCAATGTTGGAGATTTTGGGTATTGGCAGGGCCCCGGGGCATGTGCCTGCTGGACTCGAGTCTGCAGAGAATCGGATGGGTATGTTTGAACCATGAGGTATTAGAGGCTGTGCGTTACCGTCGGGTGTTCGAGACAGCAGGTTGTGCGTGAACTACATTCATCAGAGACGGAAGCCATTCGTCCATCGCAATACAGCCGGAAACAGCAAGACCCTCAGCTACAGGAGGCTGTCCAGCAACCGGGGCTGAGGGCGAGGCAGGTAATGGGGTACGGGGCTGAGCGCAAAACCCCGTTCCGTCAGCTTTAAGGAAGGATGAGCAGTCTACTGAAGGGTTGTAACTAACGGGGAACTAGAAACTACCTGGATGGCTCCAGGCAGGTGTGAGTTACCCCGCCCCTCATGCGTTTCGTGGAGAGGGCCCGCCAAGTGCGTTTTCTCGTCCTCCAGGGAGGGCAATTTCTCGCTCCCAATTTCTCGCACTTACTCCCAGCCCCGTAGGTAGGGAGGGACGACCTCGCCTCTTCGCTCCGGAGTGAGGGACGGACACGCTTGGACCTTCACCTCTCCGCGCCACGCCGCGGCGTGACTATGGGAGGCCGGCTCGCTGCCCACACGCAACCCCAGGCTCTCCTTCTCTAAGATGGCGGCAGAGGCAGCTCGCTCCCGCCCCGCCGCCCGCGCTCCTCCAAGTCGCGGCCTCAGGCGGCGGGAGCGGGCCAGAGCACGAGAAGCAGGAGGGCGATAGTGGCTCGGACCCACCAGTCCAGCGCAGGCCCCGGAGTCCTGAAGCGTCCGGGGAAACGACAAGCCAAGAGGCGGACTCAAGCAGCAGCACCGTCGCCGCCTCAGAAACGAAAAAGCGGCGGCCCATCCGGGCTCCTCTGCCCGTCCCGCCCCGCCCCGGAAATGACGTTTCGGGTGGGGGCGGAGGCCGCTCTTCAAAGTGGATTCTTCTCTCGCCATAGCTGGTCTCGCCACAAAGTGCCTGGAGTCACCGTCACCACCCCCTCCCTCGGGTTAGCCGTTCCTCTCTCGTGGCTCCGGGACGTGTCTGCACAAAGCTGGCTGCTGGGACAGGCAGCTCTCTTTCTCAGAAAGTACCCTTCGCACCATGACCCTAAACTCTGCTCGGCATCGCCTTCGCGTGTAGTCACGTTCTTCCGAGAGGACTCTTGGTGACCTCCGCCCTAGCCGAGCCTAAGCGCACCTCTCCGGACTCCTACGTTGGAATCCCGGCCTGGCGCCTTCTCACCCCGCCCGGGATCGGGGGCCGTCAGTCTCGGCGCTGATCCCTCCCCTTCCGGCGGCTCGGTCGGGCCCGCCTCCTCCCCTCTTCCCTCCCCCCCCC